CGTAATATTATGACTTTAAAGTCATAATATTACGAGATTAAAGTCGTATAAAAATAAAGTCATAACATTATGAGACTTAAGTCATAATATTACAAGATTAAAGTTGTATAAAAAAGTCATAATATTATGAGACTAAAGTCATAATATTATAACTTTAAAGTCATAACTTTAAAGTCATAACTTTAAAGTCATAATATTACGACTTTAATCTTGTAATATTATGACTTTATTCTCATACTATTATGACTTTAATTTTGTAATAATAATTAAAAAAATCTCGTTGAGTGGCCCTAATACTCCATAGTAATTTATATATTATTCAACTACATTATTTTCAGAACAGATGCAACACAGTAAGACTAGATGCTAGCGCTATTAGCATCTTTAGCATTTATGATTAGCACTAGCATGCAGTATAACTTGGTCAGAGCAATGACCTAACAGCTTATACAGCATTAAATAGCTTTTTAAAAACTCCATACAACACAGCTATACACCTTTTGTAAAGTGATAATTACTGTGAGACCTCCTGTCAGAGTTCATTAAATAAACATGTTCATTGCATCATAGTGGCACAACAGGAAGTGTCATAGACTCAGCACACATGAGATATAATTTAGGGAAGTAAAAAATAAAAAACACAAACAAAAACCACAGATAAATTAAATCTGAATAAAATAACTCATACATCCATATTCATACATAATTCTGCATTTGCTTTATAATCTTTTTGTCCGTTCAGCCCTCCGTCACCTGGCTATGTATGTGTGAAGGACACATTTATATAAATAAGCAACAATAAGATCAACTTTAAACCAGTCGTTTCCAGAGCAGAGCAAAGAAAAGCTCCAGTAGCTCCCGGAGATATCTGACATTTAACAGGTTTAACACTGATACAGAGCGACGGAGTCGAATGACACTTCAAATGGACAGAAAAGCAGGTCAGCCACGGTGGTAAACATTTTCTTATCTCTTCGGCACAACTGGCTCCACATCCACCAGGAGCACATTTTACAGCATAACAGATGCTTTTCTTCAATCAGTTGTTAATCCCCCAGGCAAGACTTTTTTTTCCTTTCACACTATGAAGACATTCAAACAGGAGTCGGCCAACTGGTGTGTGGGGGGATGAAAGTGACGCCTGATCTTAAGTTGTGCGCAAAGAGGAAGCAGAAGACGGCAGAGTTTATATCAGCTGTCGGGCTGGAGGACGAATCTTTTCAGCCAAAAACCTCGGAGCTGGCCAGAGATCCTGGAAATGTCAGAACTACTGCGATACCATAAATTAAACGCAACTTTTATACCTAAAAACGAGATGAATATCAGGTAGTTTCTCAGGCAAGACTCCAAATTTCTGCTTTCAGATGTGAGAAATTGAGGTCATGATGGTTTAGTCATTTATCAAATCAAGAATAAAACAGATAAAATCTAATTAAATTTAATAAGAGTGTGCATAAAAAATGAAAAACCGTCTAGAATATTAAACACAGAGCGGAAATTGCTTACAGGTAATGCATTCTGATCTTAATAACATTTTTGATCAAACCTTCAACGGGAAAAAGATAATATGGAAACAGTATGGCTACTGCAGTAGTATAAATAATGATAAAAAAACATTATTTTAGGGTTTTCTAAAGAGTATGTGCTTACCTTGCGTCTGAAGACAGAAAAGGCCAGACCGCAGGCCTTGCACAGCTGCCCTGCGCTCCCTGAGCTGGTGGGGGGGTAGGTGGAGTACCCTGTGCTTGGTGCGAAGCGGAAGGGCCCCGCTCCGGCTCCGAACCCCGGCTGCTGCGCTCGCACCGTCCCCGTGCCCATCACCTCATTCAGCAACCCGCAGCATGACGCCCACATGGACGAGGCCCCCGCCTGTGGAGGAAAACACACAAATAACTTTTATATGAATCAGAGGTCATCTTATCGTGAGACGTCTGAGCAGTCAGAGTGTACTTGTTGAGATTAAACACTAAATAAAATAAAACTCTCAGAGGTATAGATACTTTAGGATCAGGTTTGATTAGCTGCCTTGAAATGAGCTGACTCCAAAAGTCCAGCATTAATAGATTCACTCTTATCGATTACTTTCTGACAGTTTCATTAAAATCCTTCCAGTAAGTAGTGATGTGCAGATCGATACTGAGATATCGATACTACCGATACCAGAACTTTATGTTCTAGAATCGATACTAAAATCAAAATATCGATACTTTGATATTTCAGTTATTTCACATAATGTACATCATTTACAGGAAAATAGTGGAAAACAACTAAACTATTCAAATCATGTCTAAATCATATGTGGTTGGAGGTAACTACTTTTTCTTCCGCTTGAGTAATACATAAGCACAGTGGCCTGTGCTCAGTCAGTCACTCAGTCTGTAGATGTACGGCAGGTCATTTTAACATAAAATCTGCTTCGTCTGACTGTCTGTAATTACATTCTAGATGAGGGGTTCCCAAACTTTTTCACGCCATGGCCCCCCAAAAAGCATTAGCTTTGGCCATGGACCTTCTTGCAAACCCACAAACAATGCTACAAAATATACAAAGTAACAACTTTTAGAATATTTTTCTCACTTTTATTCACTATTCAAAAATTATTATATTTCTTTAGTATAAGAATTTTTAATTGTGCTAAAAAATATGAGGTCAGGGTTAGAAAAACGTTTAAATTAAACAAATTACTGTCATGTATTATTTATAAAGCGGTTATTTGAAAAACGCTACTCTTTAAGATTTACCAGAAACCTTATGTGTGTTATCACATAGTGTCAGTATCGCCGATACCAGTCAAATTTTCTTGGTATCAGTATCGAAAAGAAAAGTGCCAGTATCAAACATCATTAGTGGCGTTGTTATGTCGAGCTGCGTTTCCCTATCAGATATGATTCCCCCAGCGTCTCCTTGCTGCTCCGCAC